CCAATTTCATTTTACTTTAATCCCTCCTTTTCCACAGCCTGATTACAGTGGGACATTGCATTTCTTTTAGTGTTTACTATGACTGGCTGGATTTATAGATGGAAAACCAGCAACATCCACAGAAAATCTTACTTTTTACTCACTAGCATGCCTTTTCATGCAGTAAAATATGTATGAACTGGAAACATCAGATAAATGCTAATGTTTTGATGTTGCTGTAGTTACTCATTAAATAAAGGTGACTTAGCAACATACCATGTTTCAAAACTTGACCATAACCCTTCTCTGAAAGTGTGGCTGTCTATAAAGAGAACTGTTGATTATTAACACAATAATTTCTTGGTTGGCTATGGGGCATTGCCTGAATGAATTACTTAGACCTGGTTTTATTCTTCTTCTTTAGTACTAGAGAACATTAGTGTTATTTTTAAAGATTTGCTAATATTCTACAAAATATTAAATAACAGGAAAAATTATCTAACAACTACTAGTATTTTACTAAGAAACAAAATTATTCAACTCAACATATTAGTGAATGTCTTAAACACCTACTGTGTTTAGTATTTATTTTTCCTTTGACCTTATAAAGTAAAGTTTGCATTTTATTCAAGCAATCTTATATTCTTAGATGGATCCTTGTTCGATATTGTTAACTGTCCAGTGAGCTGCCAACATCAGTTTTATTGTGTGTGTGTGTGTGCCAGTTCTGGGGCTTGAACTCAGTGGCCTCAAGCTACATCTCCACTTCCAGCTTTTTTGGTACTTAACTGGAGATTAGGGAGGGGGTAACAAGTTTTACAAGAAATGTACTCACTACCTTCCTATGTAACGGGAACCCCTCTGTACATCACCTTGACAATTAAAAAAAAATCTCACAGACTTTTCTGTCCAGGCTAGCTTTGAACAGTGATCTTCAGTTCTCAGCCTCCTGAGTAGCTAGGATTACAGATGTAAGCCCTTAGCACCTGGCTGGTTGTTCATTTTTAATGAAAGAGCTATGGAATGCTATATTTGAGAGTTTAGCATGCAGTAGTAAACTTTTTTCATTTGGTTTCATCAAATTTTCAAAAATACATAAATATTTTTTATAGTCTAGACCACTTAATTTGCTGTGAATTTACGGTTTTCCTTTAATCTCTAAAGATTTAATGAAGCGCTCTTTGGAAAGTTCATATCTGTGGATGCTAGCTCATCGATAAACTCAAATTTGCCTCATTTCTCTTAGTCGTTACTACTTTCTAGGTTCAATATAAGCAATTTATATTTTTCCAGAAACTGTTACATTTCATCATTATTTCCCAAGATGTCAATATAGATTATAACCATGTTTTTTTAATTTTAAAACAATCCTTATTTTCCATTTCTTCCAATATGAAGTTCTTGAGATGCTTAATAATTTTCAACAAACGGTTCTCATATTTATTCAATTCTATAAGTTTAAGTTCAAGTTTGTGGGTATGACAATTGCTAAGAAACTAATACTTTGCAAATTGTGAAAGAATTTTGTAGCTTGTTATGAATATGCAGATTTTGCTTTGGTTTGGAAATTTTGGGCACTTTCATTTTTATAAAGTCATATTTGGCTGCTTTACTGTCTCTAGTTGTTTCAGTAGTTGTTTAACTCACAGTGTTAAAGAAGTGGCAAAATATTTTGTCACATTTTCAGTATTGAAATGGTGTTAGACTTTGAGATATAAACTACAGAATAAACCCATTAGTCTGGGCATGGTGATGTCTCTAATCTCAGCACTTGGGAAGCAGAGACAGGATCATGAGGCAGGCCATCATGCCAGCCAGCCTGGGGGCCAAGGGAAAAACTCAACATATGATTTGTGGTTTCACATAAGGTATTAAAGGTATGTATGTGTGCTTGTAGTGGTGGTATTTAGGTTTGGAATTGCAGGGACTTGCCTTGCTGAAAAGATTTCTACCACTTCAGTAACACTCCCCAGCCCTTTTTTTTATTTTTATATATTTTTATTGTTTTTGTAAAGATGATGTACAGAGGGGTCCCAGTCATATAAGTCAGATGAGTACATTCCTTTTGAATAGTGTCACCTCTTCCCTCATTTTCATTTGCTTCAGTTTTTAAGATAGGGTCTTTCTTTCTTTTTTGTCCAAGCCTACCTGTGACTAAGATCTTCCTTTGCTACGACTTTTTGTTTGTTTAATATGGCTGTGTTAAGATTTCAGGGTATGTAGTCATCCTAGAATTCTTTGGAAATCCTTGCTAGAAAATATTTGAGAAAACATACAGCTTGAGATTTACTTGTTACTTAATATCTTATAGGCATGTTCTCTAAAACTAAGAGTTTGCAAAATTATTTTTGTTTCAATCTTTTAATTCAGTGTAACTTTACCTTCCTTAAAATACCCAAAAAGTTCCCTAATAGGATTCCACATATTTCTTAAGGTCTCATTCTTTCTCTTAGGAAATGTGTGTGTGTGTGTGTGTGTGTGTGTGTGTGTGTGTACATGCATGTTCTGTTCTCCATTTGCTCTTTTCCCCTAAGTGTGATGGCTTTTTCATTAACAGTAGCCTGCCAGGAAGACTACTCTACTTGAAGCAGCTGCCCAACAGTTGCGTCCAGGATCAGATTCAGCTGTCAATATTTGCAAGCACTAAAATGAACACCTTTCATATGCCCAGCTATTGGAACAAAATTCTTCCCACAGTCCTCTTAATTTGAGGAAGTGGTGGCCAATTAAATTTACTGTCGATGAAACAGAAATCATTGTTTTCCATAACTCTTTTGTGAGCCACCTAAATTCTGAGAAGAGCCTTTGGCATTCAGCTCTGGGTTTTGTTTTGTTTTTGCTCCCTAAGTTCAAGGCACTCACTGGGGTTTTTGCAAGGTATGAGGCGCTGTGAACTGAACTAGCAGATGCTGGCATTTGGGCAGCAGCACAGATCGGTTGTTGGACAAGCTCCACCCTGAATGGTGGTCTCACTACTCAAAACCTTGAGGTCGTTCTGTACATGCAAATGACTTGGGCCTTCGTGTTATGGGCTGCGTTGTCACCAGCTCCTGAATCTTTATGGCCAGGTTAGCTACCATCAATTTTCTCCATGTACTGGCCCTTTCGAAGCCCGCAGCCATGGAGGACTTCAGGCTCACTCGAATGAACTGGGCTTGAGTTTAGCGCGCGCCTTTCCATGCACAGCCGTCTTTTTCCCAAGGGCAAATCCGTTAACGGAAAAAACAAGTATCTGTTATGGCAGTTGTGGTTTAACTGATTACTGCCAAGCCATCTATCCAATCAGAGGACGTCATCCATATCACCTCATTTGCATACTTCCCATTGTCCAGTCACAAGTTAGACGCAAAAGACGTCATTTGTGTCCCACGCCTATAAATAGAGCACTTTTCGCCTGTTGGACAGCAGTTTGTTACCTTTAACCTTGGAGTCCTGCTGTGAAAATGCCCGGCCTCATGGCCAAGAATGTTTCTATAAAGGGCTTCAAGAAAGCAGTCGAAATTGAAAAGGAGCCCGAAGAAAGTGCAAGAGATGCTACTGAGACATCTGTTTCCATCTACAAGTTCCTGAAACAAATACATCTGGATGCTGCTATCTCTTCAGAGGCCTTGAGCTTCATGAATGCTTTCGTGAATGACACTTTTGATCGCATCGCGGCCGAGGCCTCTCGCCTGGTGCACTACAACAAGCGTGCCATCCCCTCTAAGGAGATCCAGACGGCCGGCCATGCTCCTGCTGCCGCGGGAGGAACTAGCCGAGGAGGCTGCGTCTGAATGCAAGAGGGCTGTGACCAAATACAAGCGCTCCAAGTAAGACTGTCCAGCCACTAGACGAAGTTACAACCCAATGGCTCTTCTAAGAGCCACCCACACTTCTTTAAAAGGGCTGTAAGCTGTTTACGTAGGTGGTTGCTTTTGTAACAGAATGTCATTTCTTGAAGTAATAAACTGATTAACTTGTTTTATTCGACAGCCTCATTTTTCTATCTACTATGACTAAAACTATCATTGATTCTAAGCTTTGATGTATTTGTGTTGTATTTTCTGTGAAAATCACATCAAGTGAATTCACAAGAATCACAGCTTTATAGAGATTTCTGTAAATAAGAGCTTTGCGGGAAGATGGCTTGCCTTTAGGTTTTGATTATGCAAATCCTATTTCAGATAGGCCAAAAAAAGCCTATAGCTATAGACCTACAGAGGACTTTAGGGGAATCTGACAGGACTATCAAGGCTGGTTTTTTTACACTGGCTGTGATGTATAAAAGAAACCAAGTTTTCTATGACTCAAACTTGCTAACCCAGAGCTGCCCAAGTCCAGGGTTTCTGATGATGCTCTATGTACATTTTACTGGGGTCTTTTATATCACTATGTGGAGGACAGATTGACATTGGAACATGATCTTGCTATTTCAGATAATTTGTATTGGAATCCAGCAATTTGACTAACAACCTTTTAATATATTTTTAAAATTTATTTCAATCTGTTTTTTAGTTATCACTTTTATTATAGGATTATTTTAGATGGTGTACATTATCTTTTTATTTGCATTTCTATAACGACAAGTAAATTTATATTGTATATATGCTTGGCACTTTTTAAAATAACGGTATATTGGAAGCCTTTTACTGGATAGGTTCTCTATTACTGAGCCATGCCTTCTAGCCTTCTTGACACTTCTTGTTAAGGTATCTGTCTGGATAGCAGAAATACATTCTTTCATCATCATCAAAACCAAAGTGTCTGGAGGAATCACACTTTCCTGACTTTTGATGGTAATTTAAATCTTGGCATTCTTTGACTTGCCACTGCATTCAATTTTCTTTTGCCACCTTACATGATTTCTTCTCTATGTCTCTGTGTCTGGTGTTCTTTCTCTTATGAGGAGAGTCATCATTGGATTTAAGACCCACTCCAAAAATCCAAGGTGATCGTATTTAACTGTTCTTAAATACACCCACAAACATCTTTGCTTTCAAGCAAGGACATATTCACAGGTCCTTGGGTACAGACTTGGGTAGGGCAGGGTTCCTAAGATCTTCTTAGGAAACACTACAGCCACATATTAATAAAGTACCCAAAGGTACCCAAAGCTTTATCTTGGCCTTTAGTCAGGAAAAAAATATAGATCATATCTAATATTTTAGAAATCTTTAAGGAAAATTACAGACAGTACAAACCTTCCTTGGGTACCTAGTAGAAAGCAACCAGCCACAAGTTTACCTTGCTTTATCTTATGGCCCTAAAATTTTCCTTTTAAAGGCTGATTTCTTTCTTCTCCAGAAAAACTTCTCTGTGTGTGTGTGTGTGTGTGTGTGTGTGTGTGTGTAGGTGTTGAGAGGAATTCTGGTGAAGGTAATTTTATTTGAAGGTAATTTTAGCATACAGGTTTCTAAATAGGCTTATGTTCTCTGTTCAGTGATAATGCAAAATCACAGTCTGAAAGTAGGACAAGTATTATTGTTCCTGCTTCTAAGGTAATCTCCAAAACAGCACACTTTCTATTTACACATAAACAAAGCAACAAATACCACTCACAAACTTCAAGAGAAGTAATGTGATTGTCACTAATCATCGTTTACAGTCATTATTTGTATAGTAACTTACAAATTAGACAGCAGTAACGCTTCCAATTTATTCAATTATTAATATTCCATGGTAATTAAAATTCCAGTTGTTGTGCAAGTGTATTTAGTGAACTAAACTTCAGTGACTAAAATTCATGTATACCAAAACCATGAAGCTTAAGGGCAGCTTTTGTAAAGAAAGCATCCATTCAAGAAGCTAGGAACTTTTTTTTAAATGAACCAACAAGACAGAAAAAATAAATTATGAGGGAGAAAAAGAGTGAAAAATAATTATGAAACAAAAACTAAAGTACAAAAGTATAAAAATACATTTTGAAAGAGCATTAACCAATAAGTAATGCATTTTGTAAAATATAAGAATGCACATAGAAAATAAAGGATATTAAAGATATAGTTGCAGAAAGTACAATGATGACAACAGTACCAATAGAGATGAGTTTGCTAATCTCTAAAGGACATTCCATTAATTTCCTTGAAAAATATAATTTTAAAGTTTTCCAAATTAGTGAGTCAATAATTTTATAAAAGAAAAATAGAGAAAATTAAAGAACTATCCTTAAATGATGGCATGAAATTCAAAAGGAATTTTAGTGAAGAATAAAGATTAAAGAATACTAATGCTGTTTAAACAATTTTAGATTATAAATAACCTCACATTCTTTATTATCTTTGTAAGTTCAATAAAAAATTTGATTTAAAAATCCAGACATTACATTCAAAAAAGGAAAAAATAGATTGCCTTAGTTTATAACATTGAATTGCAAATTGTTAATAAAACATTGGCAAGTAGAACTTAGCAAAATGTTAAATTATGGTTAAAATTAAAATATATAGTGCCCAAGCAAGGGTTTATAAAAATAATACAAGGTCCACTCTATTAGGAAACCTATTAAAATAGCTCATCACAATATATCTAATGAGCAAAGATTTGTGACTGTTTACAAAGATGCTGAAAAGATATTTGACAAAACTCAACAAATTCTTGATTTAAAACTATTAATAAGCAGTATAATTCTTCCCTGTAACATACATTTAATCACTACTAATGCAGAACAATCTTCAACATAATTAGGGACAGTGATGTGTATCTTTTTTTGGGGGAAGGGGTCCGTCATGGGGCCTGAACTCTGGGCCTGGGCGCTGTCCCTCAGCTCTTCAGCTCAAGGCTAGCACTCTACCACTTGAGCCACAGCGCCACTTCCGGTTTTTTTCTTTTTACTTACGTGGTGCTGAGGAATCAAACCCAGGGCCTCTGACATGCAAGGCAAGCACTCTACCACTGAGCCACCTTCCCAGCCCCAGTGATGTGTATTTTTATCCCTATTTCTTATAGTAAAGGTGTAGGCTACTGAACTCAGGAAAAAGAAACTAGAAGTGAACTATCTAAAAGGAAGCAATAAAAGTTTACTCTCCCCAAATAACATTGTAAACATGTAAAACAAAATCTATCAGAGAACTAAAATGAAAATAAATCAATACAGTGAGACCATAGAATATTAAAATAAAGCACAGAATTTTATATTTCATATAAAGTAAAATATTAGCAGATATTAGCAAAATTCCATATGCACAATAGCACATAAGCAAAATATTTAGAACTTTTGCAATGAAAAGTTTATATGATGGCTGTCAAAATATATCTGATGCAAAAGCTACATCAGATTTGGTGTAAGTTACTTTTTGCCCAAGTGATCCAACTAGTTCTTGGACAATTGGGGTACTTGTTGAGAGTGGTCAGAGAGCTGTGTAGTACCAGCTTCTCAAGGTCTTTACAGGGCAGCTGGCACTCCTAACTAGAGCTAATGCTTCTTGCAATACAATATGGACATATATGTCTGTCTGTAACCTCCTTGAAGGAGCTGTAGCCAAAACATGAAATGCTGTCTCAATTTGCACAAAAGTTTAGGACATTTTAATGTGATGGATTTTTTTTCCTGCGCATTAAGAAATTGCACCAAATGGCATTTTTAATGTAGAGACAGTCTTAAAAGTATATATGCACCTTCTAAGTCTTTTTATAAAATAATTTTTAAAAATTTTATCAAATCAAAATTTTCAGCTAACACGTTTTCTTTTTAAGGCTGTTAAATTCAGTGTCTATACTGTTTTAAATGCTTATTTACCCTGGGAGAATAACATAAGTGATCCTGTAATAAAGGACATAAACACCAATTTTAGTGATTTCATCATAAAACATTTTTGGTGGAATATTAGTTGTCAAGAGGAGATTCAGTAAAGTTAAGTTTGCCAGTTGTGATCAGCCATGTTATTTGAAGTACTTTTAGACTCTCCCCGTTTCCACTGTCACCATACTCTCAGCAAAACTAATATAGGGTGTCCTCTCAAAGAGTATGAAAGATACTGGCCTAGAAACCTCAATTTTGAACTTTTTTTTTTTTTGGTCGTGGGGCTTGAACTCTGGGCCCGGGCGCTGTCCCTCAGCATTTCAGCTCAAGGCTAGCTCTCTACCACTTGAGCCACAGTGCCATTTCCTAGAAACCTCAATTTTATGGGATAATTCTCACTTTCACTGGTCACTTGGAAAAGTGTAATCGGAAAACAGCCTTGTTTCCTTTAAAAAAAAAAAAAACAACAGTAACAGAAAAAAAAAAGCCATAAGACAAAAAGACTTCAGGCCACAAAGCTCAAGATCTGTTTTTTGATAGGCTTGGAAAAAGTTCTAGTGAAGGGCCACTTGCGTCCTTGTAGCAGTTATCCCAACATCGCATTCATGAGCTACAAAACGTCAGCTCCTTTTGAAAAATCATCGAAGACCCTCTGGACTGGCCTCATGATTAGTCTACAAGTACGTACTTAGGTCCGTATCCAATCACATTGACTTTAGGACTAAAGAATGACTTAACGGAGTTGGAAGTGTGGCCTCAAGACCTAGAGCACCAGACTGGGGGAGAAGGGAGCTGAAAGAATGAAGCCTGGAGTACAGGCTCCAGTACCTGCACACACATAGAAAAAACCAAAATCCACACTCATCAAGTAAGCACACGGCTCTTTTATCAGAAAGCGTAGGTGGCTCTTAAAAGAGCCTTTGGGTTAGAAACGAACTTGGGTTGCCAAATTTACTTGGAGCTGGTGTACTTGGTGACGGCCTTGGTGCCCTCGGACACGGCGTGCTTGGCCAGCTCCCCGGGCAGCAGCAGGCGCACGGCCGTCTGGATCTCCCGAGACGTGATGGTCGAGCGCTTGTTGTAGTGAGCCAGGCGCGACGCCTCGCCCGCGATGCGCTCGAAGATGTCGGTGACGAAAGAGTTCATGATGCTCATGGCCTTGGAGGAGATGCCAGTATCAGGATGAACCTGTTTCAGCACCTTATAGATGTAAATGGAGTAGCTTTCTTTTCGGGTTCTCTTGCGCTTCTTCCCCTCCTTCTTCTGAGTCTTAGTGACAGCCTTCTTGAAGCCCTTCTTAGAGATGGTGGCGCCCTTCGAAGATACCTCAGGCATAGTTGGTACACAGCCGTAAAACGCCTACCCGTCCCGAAACCGCCAAGCAAACGGAGATCCAAAGGCCCGAAAGACTGGTATTTATAGGCTTGGTATTCAAATGACGTATGGTACCCACTATCTGATTGGATAATGGTCTTTGCGTGTATGTAAATCAGGTTATTCGATCAAACCTTTCTGATTGGCCACAGAATCATCAACCAATCAAGTGTCCATTTGCGACCTGCTGTCAGACTATAAATAGACCCATAGCAGTCAATAGATTACCCATATAACTTGCTCTATAAGGGCATCTTTTGGAACTATGTGTGTGCGGAGCAGGCAGACCGGCAAATCCCGCGCTAAGGCCCTGTCCCGCTCTGTTAGAGCGGGCTTGCAGTTTCCTGTGGGCCGCCTCTACCGGCTGCTCCGCCAAGGCAACTATGTCAACCGCATAGGAGCTGGAGCCCCAGTGTATCTGGCTGCGGTACTGGAGTATCTGACAGCTGAGATTTTGGAGCTGGCTGGCAATGCAGCCCGGGACAACAAGAAGACGCGCATTACTCCACGTCATTTGCTATTGGCTATCCGTAATGATGAAGAGCTCAACAAGCTATTGCGTGGTGTGACAATCCCACAGGGTGGCGTCCTGCCTCACATCCATGCTGTGCTGTTGCCTAAGACCAGTGGTCATAAGATTCAGAGCAAATAACTTCAAGAAGCAAGTTTCATATGACCTACCTGGTGTAAACGGCACAAACGGCTCTTTTCAGAGCCACCTACAGATTCAGACAAAGCTAGCTGTGCACGATCTACTCGAGTGATCCTCGTGGACTAGGCCATCAAGACCATCATTTTAACTTTAATGTAGTGCTCTTGATTTTTGGTTTCTCATGGATTATTGAACCCTAAATCAATGAGTAGAAAAAAATTGGAGACAGTAATGCACGAACCTACCCTCCCCCCCCCCCCCCCCCCCCCCGCCAACTGCGGGCTGTGGAAACTGGTACATAGTAAATTGGTGGTAGCAATTCTTAACACACTTTGGAGTACTCCAGAGAAAAGAGCTAGTTGTGGATATTCTAATATTGAAACATTTCTGAATAGTATGAAGATAATACTGTTTGATTTTCAACAGATTAACGGGCATATATGGATTAGATCACAAATAGACAGATTTTGCTACTCTTGCTTTAACTCAGTCTTACAGGTTCTGTGATTTCTCCGAACTGTCTCTTCAAAAGAATTTCCTTCCCAATGTAGTAATGTCCGTATGGTAAGGTTTCACATGTACTTGAGTAAGCCAAAAGTGAGGAAGTAAGCTAAAATGTAGGGGATGTGTAAAGGAGTATTTCTGAATAGTTGTTGCTCAAAGTAATAATAGGATTGTTTCTTAAGAATAACATATAATCCTAGCATGAGGCTGAGGTCGAGGATCGAGATTTAATTAGAAGCCAGCTAGGGCAGATAAATCCCAGAGACTTAGCTAAAATTAACAAAAAGCCAGAAAGTGAAAGTATAACTCGAGTGGTAGAGCACCAGCCTTGAGTGAAAAAGCCATGCAAGAGCCTTGTGTTAAAGCCCTAGTACTCGCACCAAATGTGTGTGTGTGTGTGTGAAAATGAATAATGTGGAAAAAAACCTATCATTATTTTTTGAAATTTAGAAATTAGGGACAATATTTCCAAAGTTTTAGCTACTAAAAGATAGCAATGTGAGCTGTAAAAACTGTAAAATCGAAAATTGTTATTCCAGAAGCATAAGTCAAAATAAATCTCTTTATATAAAGTGTATAGACTTGGGCATTTCATTATAGTAACAAAATGGGATGACTAAGTCAAAGAGTATGCAAGAATCTATAGGGTTTTAAGTATGTATATCATGAAGTTACTTTTCCAGATGATTATACACAAAACAAAACATGAGTATATTGTTTCAGTTTGCCTTCATGGAAATTAGCCCTTTAACAATAAAGATCGTAGTGAACAAAGAGTTCATTTGTATTTCTTTTCATCAGAATGAGGCGTGTGTGTGTGTGTGTGTGTGTGTGTGTGTGTCTGTCTGTCTGTCTGTCTGTCTGTGTGATATTTTTTTTACCAGTTCTACCTTGCAAAATGCCATGGTGGTTTATTAAAAATGAACTTAATGAATTCACACACTTTTTTTGTCGTTGTTGTTTTGGTTTTTTTGTTTGTTTTTGGTCATGGAGCTTGAACTCTGGATGAGGGTGCTGTCCCTCAGTTCTTCAGCTCAAGGCTAGCACTCTACCACTTGAGCAACAGCACCACTTCTGGTTTTCTGAGTGGTTTATTGGAGATAAGAGTCTCATAGACTTTTCTGCCCAGACTGCCTTTGAATTCTGATCCTCAGACCTCAGCCTCCTGAGTAGCTAGGACTACAGGTGTGAGCCACAGACACCCAGTTACATTAATTGTTTTTTAACATTATAAAATAACATAAAATTAAGCCCTTAATAGAATATTTTTAGTCTGAAAATAATTTTACAGTGCAGTTGAATCTTTTAAACTATTTCTTGATGAAGAACAAAATTCCTTACTAATTTGAAATATGCTTACACAAGAGCTCCTTTAATGTAAAAAACAATCATTACTAACACCAAAGGGAGCCTAGTAGGAATTTCATGTAAAAATATATCCAATTTTTAATATATTTCAGAAATTATGCTGGGAAAAAATTTACAGTTATGGATATATTATTTAATAAGTCTAGGGAGAAGAGTAGAAACCATTGCTTAAAATACATATCAGACTTCAACTTTTTGTCTACTGGTAAAAATATAAAATCAGAAAGTAATTAAATTAACAGTAATTATAGGACACCCATAGGGACTCGGTCATATTTTGTGTCAATTGTTATTTCTGCCTCTTGTGAACACAGAAATTGGACAGTCCTATTTTAATGCTCATCTTTCCTACTTTTGAACTAAATGGTTTTGAACCAGCTAATTAATATCTATGGGCTTCATGGTAACACTTATCTAACAGGGTTATCGTGAAGATCAAACTGACATAATACATAGAAAACTTCTAGCACACACTCAGGTACTATTTTTCTCCATTTAACTCAATGGTCCTCCAGAGATCTTCTCCATCTAAATCAGTGGTCCTCCTCCACCGTAATTTTGCTTCCCAATATACATTTTACATGTCTAGAGACATGTTTGGTTACTAAAATCAAGTTGTATGTTTCACAGTTAGCCAAGTTATGAAAGAATATTGGGCACATGTACCATGGAATGTTTTTCAGCCAATAAAAAAAAAGAAATCATGTCATTTGCAGAAAAATGGATGAAAACTGGAGATTATCATGGTAAGTAAAATAAACCAGACCCAGAAAGACAAGACAAGGAATGCCGGAGATTGCGAGCAAGCCACCAGAAATGAGGCAAGAGGCCTGTAAGTGATTCTCCTCACAGCTCTCAGGGAAACCAGCCCTGTTGATGCTAGTTGTTAGATTCCCAGTCCTTCCAAGTCCCCAGTACTGTAAGACAACACATTTCTGTCATTTCAGCCACCAAATTTCTGGCTCTTAGCAAATCTGGGTTTGGGGTTCAGCCCTTCTAACCTTTAACTCTCTGTGTAATCTTCCTTTCCTTTTTTTGGGGGGGGGCGGTCATGGGGCCTGAACTCTGGGCCTGGACTCTGTCCCTCAGCTCTTCAGCTCAAGGCTAGCGCTCTACCACTTGAGCCACAGCACCACTTCCGGCTTTTTTCTTTTTGCTTATGTGGTGCTGAGGAACCGAACCCAGGGCCTCATGCATGCAAGGCAAGCGCTCTACCACTGAGCCACCTTCCCAGCCCCTTTCCTTCTCTTTTTTCTCCCTCCCTCCCTCCTTCCTTTCTTCCTTTCTTCCTTCCTTCCTTCCTTCCTTCCTTCCTTCCTTCCTTCCTTCCTTTACTGGTGTTGATACCTCTACCCTTACATTTTCAATGCAAGTGCTCTACCACTTTAGTCTTTTTGCTTTTAGTTTATTTTATAGGAAAAGTCTCATGCTTTTTGCCTAGGACCAATCTTAATCAGTGATAATCCTTTACTTCTCACGGTGCTTGGATTACAGGCATGAACCACCAGCAGTGAATGTTCTTTTCTTGATAGACCAGCTGTCTTACTTGCTGAGGGGAAATTTTTGATAGGGATAAAGGATGGTCTCCTGAGATATGTGGGCTCTGAACTTTCCTGAAGATAATATCTGATATGTGGGGAGTGAGGTTTGCACAAATGAGGACAAGAAAAGTCCCAGACCAGTCTGAGTGGAACAGAGGACTCATATAAGTAAGCACCTGCTTAAATTTTTTGCATTCCAGGAGTGCTACCAATATGGTCTTGCACTGGGTTGTAAATCTGCCAGAGATAAAATTTGCAGCCAATAAGGAGCCATTTAAGATTTCAGTGACGACTGTGAATGCAACTCTAAATATGGCTTGTGGTAGAATACAGGTGATTGTTTTGGAATGACCAATAAAGAACAAGGGACAGAGAAAACAGAAGATGAGAGAGATGAGCCGGATATACAGAGAGGGGGTGTTCTGATGTTTCACAATGACTCCAAGAACAACCGCTGTGAATTTATGTAAACAAAGAGCCATGCAGGCCAAGCCCATCCTGAAGGGCTCTCCACAAACCAGGAAACTTGTAGCTCTTAGAAGGTACTGGTTTCTCACTATGTTGTCATACTGGTGGTCTGGGTACTTCACACACTATTCCATATCTGATTAGGAAGCCAGAACCATTATTCCCATTTCAGTACTTAAAATGATATTATGAAATCCCTTAATAAAGATAATTCTAACATGAAAAAAAAAGATTTCAGTGAAGCTGGGCGCCTGTGGCTCACGCCTGTAATCCTAGCCTGCAAATTGGGAGGCTGAGATCTGAGGATCACGGTTCAAAGCTAGCCCAGGCAGGAAACTCCATGAGACTCTTACCTCCAATAAACCACTAGAAAACCAGAAGTGGTGCTGTGGCTCAAGTGGTAGACCACTTGCCTTGAGCTGAAGAGC